TATTTCTAGAAAACGGGTGGCGTGATACTAGTCACGTGAACTCGCTGACACAACAATATGTTTAGCTAAGGCAGCCTTTCAAACAAAGGAAAATATAGTCGTAAGGCTAAAGAGTATTCACACATGATTAACATTAATATATCTATAAACTTTTAGCTGTCATATAGTTAAAACGAATTTAAATTCCATGATATTCGCAATGCAAAATATAATATCATCGTGAATATCCTTCTGATGGCTGGTTAAAGTAGTTGTGTTATCAAGTAAATAGACAGAACATGTGGTTACTATCGTTATCTTTTGAAATTAAACGTGTCAAAAAAAGAATCATCGTCAAGTGATCATAAGATATGAAACTGAACTTATTAAATACAAAAGGAATCAACCCTCTGTAACCTAAATAATATGGTTGTACGACAAAATTCTTAGATCAACCATTAGGTTGATGTGAAAGGCAGTGGTGTATTAAAAGAGTGAGAACGAAAAACTAACAAGTGCTTTTACTGATTAACATTGATGTTTTAAATTCTTGTTCGCATCTATGTAGAACGTGTACTTAAGCTTCGAATACTAGTGGAAATTAAAGTGTATAGTTCAAATGGTATTATATCTATGTATGTTTGGATCTGTAAATAACATGTAAAAATGTTGCTATGTATTGTGAGAAAAGTTGCTGTTATTCGAGCTAGATGCATGTAAAATGAAAGCTCCTTTTCTTCATTGTGTTAGGCCTGAATGTAGGATTCTTAAGAAGGAAAAACTGTATATTGGGTTAGGCCTAAATGTAGGGTTGTCAAGAACGAAAGTTTGTTTATTGTTTAGGCCTGAATGTAGGATTCTTAAGAAGAAAAAATTGTATATTGGGTTAGGCCTAAATGTAGGGTTCTCAAGAACGAAAGTTTGTTTATTGTTTAGGCCTGAATGTAAGGTTCTTACGAACAATGGTTTGTATGACATATGAAGAAATGGTTTATGTGCTGAAATAAAATAATTTTTTTAGAAAAACATTTGTGTACTTAATCAAGTATTCACAACGTAAGAAGAATATAATAATAGTAGCTCTCGGTTTAAATATCTTTTTTTTTTCAATCGCGGTGTTAATTACTTGTTGGCAAGTGAAAAATAATGTTATTTTACACTACATCAATGATTAATTAATGCAATATTATATTTTACATTAATAATGTGGACTGTCGACTTTTAGTGCATGTTCTCGATCTCAGAATTATCAATATTATTGTTTTTAGTGCATACTAATTTTACAAAACAACTGATGTTAAAAAATTGCATTGATTCGGGACGACGAAGTATATTAAACAAATAAAATCGTAAAAATCGTATTTCTATGTGCAGTTCGTAGCATTTAGGCTTAACTCTTAAACTTAATCAGTATATGAAGCTTAGTTTAAGGCCCAATAACAAAATTTGGCAAAAACAGCTGCGTTTTACATTATTTCTTAATAATAAAATTTTGATTAGGACCCTGCTTTTTATCTGAAGATTTTCATTATCGAAAAAATAAAATAAATTCATAATCACATATAAAGTCGGTACAAGACTTAAAAGTTAAAATTCAAGACTTTTTACCATTACAAATAACCGTAATGTAGATTGTACATTTATTGTTTAGGCACAATAAAATAACGTAAACTTACTGTTGTCGTAATTAGACAATTATAATGTCTCTCATATAATTCATGTGCTGTAATGGACGAATCGAAAGGACACAAGTAATTTGAGGGAGAATACAGAGAATAATTTTTCATCTGTTTGTTTGTAATTAAGCCCAAGGCTACACAATGGGCTATCTGTGCTCTGCCCACCACGGGTTTCGAAATCCGGGTTATAGCGTTGTAAGTCCGCAGACATACCGCTGTGCCACTGGGGGGGGGGGATTTTTTATCTCGTTTAGAATATCTGAGTATAGTAATGGTTTATTTTAGATATTATTTGAAAGTATTGTGTATGGAGCTGAAACACAAGTTTTGATTATTAAATATCAGTATATCTTTAATATTTTTTAAATTTATGAGTTATATAGCCTTCCAAACATAGTTACAAAATTCTTTTTTTTTATGTATATTTTCATTTAAGCTACAAAATCGTTTTCCGCATAGCTTCAATCTAATTTTCTAATAACTTTTCTTTTCTCTCAAATTAGGTTTTGGTTTTCGGTCATTATTAAATTCTACATTTTTATCAAATAGAGCACTGGAATTTCCCCTCTATTACACGTATAATTTGATTTTTTGATTCTAGTCATCATTTAAGAACAATAACGAAGTGTGATACCAGAAAAATTGTAACTTTTTATCCTTGTTATAGAATAATCCACATGAATTCTTGTTTATTCTTCTGTCGCACTTATTTGCTCCTGTGCTCTTACCATAGAAACATCATACTGTACGACTTCTGTATTTACAGGTATTTCAAAATCCCAGATTCTACGACGAATATGTGTATTTCACGAAAGCCATCTTTCAGCAACAATGCAATTCCGACCACGTGCAATCAAACCCGGCAATTATTGGTGTTTATTACTTTAGAATGGTGTAGGACGTGGAATAGTGTTTAGCGCGCCGGAATTACTACCCAAGGATTCATGGTTTACGGCCCTTGCTTAGCATTTTAAGGCCCTAAGTGCATTATAAGAGAGACTGTCAAATCCCACTATCCGAAGGATTGGCGGTGGGTATTGTTGATTAACTTCCATCCCTCTAGTCTGTCCGTTAAAAATTAGATACGGCTAGCATGAATAACCTTTGTGCAGCTTTGCACTAATATTCGAAATAAATAAATATTCTTTTGACTTTTGGCCTAGGGGAAAAGTTATATATTTGTATTATTTTAGCACTTCGGGGGAGGACTGTGACTAACGAAGCTGTCGAAAAATGGGAAAAGAAGTATTTTCTCCAACTTCAGCCACGCAGTAGAAGGAAAAATATTCAAGTACAAAACACTAACATTTTTAGATTTATCTATTCTTTACATAGCACACGAAGAAAAATTTCCTTTACTCAGAACTTGCTGTAACCGCAAAATCGCCGTCGACGTCCGTATACTAATCTATCGTCTAATAGATATAACGTGTCTAAAGTTGTCACTAGTTTTTCTAAACAAGTAATTATAAATCATTTTCGAAAGTCCCAAAAATTTTGTATTTCTTTTAACCAGGAACGTTATTATGATCTTTACTAACATTAAGAAAAGGTCCTATTTAAATGTGAGCATCACAAAATTTCGGGACGTTTTGTTAAAAATATTGCAAAGCTATCTGCGCTAGCCGTTCCTAATTTAGCAGTGTAAGAATAGAGGGTTTGTTTGTAATTAAGCACAAAGCTACACAATGGGCTATTTGTGCTCTTCCCAGCACGGGTATCGAAACCCGGTTTCTA